TTTTAAAAATAATTGGGGGTCGCAGATAAATTGATAACAGACGGGACGGTATTTTTTTCTACATATATATATATAAACTAAAGAGTTTGGGGAGTCCTTTAAATTTTTTAAGTACAAAAGCGGGTCGCTTACCAAAACGTTTGAGAAACACTGGTATAGAGAAAAAAAAGTTGTTGGAAAGTGGTTTAAATTTTCAATTGAGTTGGAAATCAATTAGAATTTGCCGCGGGGACAAGCGAGTCGGACAAATGGGTTTTTGAAGAATGCGAAAGAAATGGAAGTAAGGAGAACTAGAAATAGGAAAAGACAGGGATAATTTACGAGGAGGAAGGAGCGCCGTGGATTTTTATGGCGCTTCATCTTCGGAAATTTATTTATTTTAATATGTGGGGGGATTAAGTTCGTGCCTTGGGAGATGTTATTACACGCAACTATTGATTTTCCAGTCGGATGTCTAACGAGATTCAGGATGCGAAAAGTCCTTTCGGAAAATAGGGAGTCGAGCAACGGAAAAAATAATATATAAATGTCCAAAAAGAAACACAACAAACAAAAAATATGTACGAACTCACATTAATTAAGTTTTCGTTTTCCTTGATTAAATATTGTTGCTTGTTCTGGAGTTGCTCGAGGATTATATAATATTTTTTTGCTTTGCGTAAAATGGGGAGGAAAACTGGATTTACTCCACTGAGGATGTACGATGTTAAATACAATAATGAGACTGCGATGTTTTTTTCCATTAAATAAAGCTGCTCCAATGCCATATTTATTTTGTTTTTCATCATAAGTTCAAGGGCAGAAACAATAACAGGAATGAACGAACTAAAAGAAAGATAATAAAACAAAATTTATATAAAAAAAAAATATGGAGAGTGTGGGAACGACGTGCGGCTTATTTGACAAAGCTATGTATTCCGGTTTAAAATAGATTTCGCTCGAAATCGATGAGTGTTTAGCTTCGTACACGGTTCATCCTATTTTCAAATATAATGGAATAGATTCCATGTACTCCACATTGAAGCATCCGAATGGATCCCAAAGGACCTTGCTCAAAATCAATCGCATTTTGTCCCAAATAGAATTAAACACTTCTGGAATCAGGTTTGCGCATTGATTTTCCCGCTAGTTGATGTTCACGTAATACGCGAGAAGAAGAGGAGTATAAAAAAATATGAGAAGTGAAATAAAGTGCAAATGCATGGAAAACCTTGAAGCCGCAAATCGATATTTTATATATATATATTTAAAATAAAATCCACGTCGATCTTAATTAAAGAAAGCGAAACTCCGGAAATAGTATAATTGGTAATGAAATATTTAATTATGCTGTTTTTTCGGGGAATCGATGCTGCATAGTTGGAATTATAAATGTCGAATTTCATTAAAATAATCCTTGAATGTATTTATTGAAATTTCTTTGGTTTTTGGTTGTAGATGTAAAAAGGAAATTGTTATTCAGTTGGTTTGCGTCACCGTCGAATGGTTCAAGGAATGTAAGTTTCCTTTTTATGCCGGATGACCCGTGCAAATTGAATTTTCCGATTCGATTAGTGCGAATGGAAACGTTTCGTTACCGTATAAAAGTATTGCGACTGGAATGCGGATATATATATAAAATAAGGTAATACGTTTGCTTTTCAACGAAAATAGATATATTTTCTAAAGCAATGTAAATCTAATTTTATAAATATACAGCGGAACCTCGCTTAACGAGAATTTCCTGATTTTTTCTCGTATAATGAAACAATTTTCCCCATATAAACTAATATAAAATACGATAATGCGTTAACTTCGTCTCGATTTTGGCTTTTTATTCGGAGACATACAAGAGTTATTAAATTTTCCCCAAAAAAATCACAAATAACAAAAATAAAATATCTACACAAATTTTGAAAATGATGTAGCAAGCGCACAATCTGATACTTTTCCTTTCCTCATCACTCGTTATGCGAGTCATTTTTACAATTTATTTTGCTTGTTAAGCGTGGTTCCACAGTTTAATTGAAATGTCAGGATGCATAGTTTTCTTGAAATTTAATACTGATTTTACTTGTCAAGTATATTTTATTCTTGGTATTTCAGTTGATGCAAATTAAAATAACAAACGGAATTCATAATTTTCTTTTAATGGAATTGTGACTTTACGTCTCAAAAATATTTTACACTGAAATATCAGATGATGCAAAATAAACTTTGTTTCCTTTAGATTTGAATTTTTTTTTTTCTTAACATTGAAAATAATTTGTAATTTTTATTAAAAAATAAATCTTTATACTTCTGCAAACAATTTGAATAATAAAATGCATTTGATTTTATTAAAAAGTTAGTATAAATATAAATTTGTTAATTAACTGTGATGTTTGTCACTTTTTTCCGTCTTTGCGTTTTATTTAAGATCATTGAACTTTCTTATTAAAGATAACTCAGAAATTATTAAATTAAAAGAGTTATGTTTCTTTAATTTGTTATTAATTTCAAGATGAATTAAGTAATTCAGTATACACATGTTGCGTAATGATCTTAGTAATTTGGAAAGATAAATAGGAAAATGTAAACATCGTTTGTATGATTACTAAATATACCCAAGTGATTAATTATCGGAAAATTGAACTGCATCGTAGGCTTGACGTTATTATATAATGTTGATGAAATTGATGAAAAGAATAGTACGAGAACTATAGCATTCGGCATTATCTTACACAATGAAGAAACGGAATGTCCAAACGAAAATTCGAAATTTTCTAAAGCCTTTTGTGTCAGCACAACGATGTTCATCCAAAGGGCATTTGATACACAGCCTGTACTCGACACAGTGGGAGTATTGTCTGCGAAAGCGTCAAGTGTCCTCGCGCTTAATTAAACGGAAAAGCACGGAGTGTTGCGTAACTTCTCGCCATTTGTTTTGTTGTTCGGTCGAAGAACAGGAGTCGCTTGCAGGAAAACCGGGGGCGGTGCAAACACGTAGGATAGAAGTGGGCATTCCTCTGGTGCATTTCGCAAATTCGATCCGGGACATTCGCAAGGCGGGGGCGCATCGATTTTTCTTTTTCCAGAAAACCCAGTGCGGTGGATCGTAAACTCATTCAGATCTTTCGGGAAGCTCTGTGTCTGGGTGTTGGGTATAGGTATGGGTGTGTGGTATGTGGGAGTTCGGGCGACGTAAAATGTAGGTGAATGCGAGTCGATTGAAGTTCGCGCCAGCACTAAACGCTCTGGTTTCAATCTATTTCCTGAAGAAGGAACAGCAAGACTCTGCATTATAGGAGAGCACTCAAATTTATTAAGCTTTTATTAATATTGTATCGAGGCCCGGTGTGACTATCGATTGTTGTTTTATGAACTGGGTCGGATAGATGATAGATGTATGTGTATGTACGAGAATTACTATTTCTGTTTTGCCACTTGATTGCTGTTTACTTATCCTCCTTTATATATAATTTTTTTCGTTTTTTTTTGTGTTATTTGCTTTGCTTGTTTGTGCATGTTCGATATATTTATGTGCATGGTATTTCATTAGGTGACAGTACTACAATGTAAGCCCCGGGGCCCCTCATTATCCGTTTCCTTGATCGGACGACTATTGCCTTCATATTGTTATTTGGCGAAGTAATGTCGATCGATCGGTGCGTCGGTAAATGTGTCTATTTTCGTTTTATTACAAAACCTTCAGCTAATAGTTGTATTATCGCGAACGTGACGCTCCAAAATAACAGTTTAATCCTGGCCTAAGACGATTTAGCACGGTCCTTCATTCTTCTACCACATGAATTATGCATGGCTCGACCACGGTGCGTGGGAGATGAACCATCAAAACTCATCGATATAACTTGTAGTAGGGCTTCAGGTGCGTCGAATTCGCTCTCCAAACATTCCTTTCTACAAATTTAATCTGCTGATGGATTCTACCCATATTGGCTAATTGGGTCTCTCTCTCTCTCGTTTCGGGCAAATCGTGTAACGATCGATCCATCCGACGGTGGCGTGCGTTTTAGAATACGGAGATCCCCGCAGGGACAGTGCGACCGTTCAGGCTACATCCTAACCTCGTCAGGCTCTGAACTAAGTCTTTTACGCTCTAAACTTAGTATTTTATACGTGCACCGAACTTTGGGCAATGGCAATACTGCGGCCCATCCAATTATTACCAAACTAGTTTGTTGGTGAGTAGTCTGTTGATTGCAAATCTACAAATATAACTTATCCAACCTATTACAAAGTTTCAATTAAGCTGATTCTCTGCTTCCGCATCTTTAGCTATTTTGAAATCGTATTATTAGCTTTTAAATAAAACAAGTTTCATTCCAATCAAGAAATTTAAATTACTATATATAAATGGCAATGATAGTAATCTTGACTTAACTTTCTACTATGTATACTTACTTACAATTTAGGAGTTTTCAATTAATTATTTTACAATATATTCATTGCTGATTTATATGAAAATAAACAAAGCTACAATAATTTTGTGTGATCTTAAGTATCTATTATAGTACTTTGGTAGAGTGAATCCTAGTTGTTGTTGGAAAGTAATCAAAGCTAAAAATGTTAACTAGAATAATCCTGACTTAAATATTTTATGGCAACAATTTAGGACAATCAGAAAGTTATAGTAGAAGAATCAGACACTTTAAATGGTTGAGTTATTTTAAATTTAAGAATTGATGAAAAAATTAAGACTTAGTTTAGAGTTTGGTAGGAAATGGTGTTTTGTAGCATTTTGGCTTTGTGCGAAGTTCCTGACTGGTAATGTTTCTGTCCTTTAATAAAGTTAAATTAGCAGTCGCGGTCTATTCACCTAAAGCTATGAATAAGTATAGGATCAAATGCACACCCCGTTTGCTCCATGGGCAATAAATTCGCGTCGTCGAAAGGGTGGTTCCCTGTTCTTTCGGTCAATCCCACCGCCCCCCAAAATGCTGATCGGGTGCGGTTCCTGTGCTGCAAATGCGAAGCAGTGGATTTGTCGAAGCGTGGTGTGTGATTTATTATTGTTGCAGGGTTGCAGTATGAACTTCAAGAGCAGGCCAACAACCGCCTGTTCTCTGTGCAACCGGCGTACGCGGGGTGCGCATGGCAAGGGCCTCTTAGCGCGACAGCCACCGCGATGAGCACTGTGGGGGCGGGCGTGACGAGCCCGGGACAAACGGGGGCCCGAACGCCGACAGCCCCCAAGCGGCCCGTCCGCCGCGTGGGCAAACCGCCCCCCGACCGGCCGCAACGTGCCCTCTTTTTCTTATACCTCAAGAACCCCGTTAGGAAACTATGCATTGATGTCGTCGAGTGGAAGTATCCTTTCATTAATATTACAGCATTCGTCATATCATCGTAAGGTAATGTAATACATTTTTATTATATATTTCTATTGCTCTACAAAGGAATCCCCAAAATTCAAATGTTATATTATAAATATAATCTCTATACTTCTAACTTGAATACACACAAGTATTTTTTAAAAACTCAGTTATCAAGATATTCTTGTCAATATTTTCTTTAAATATATGAATAATTTAATTTGGTAAAATATCTAATTAAACAATTACTGAAATTAATTATTTCCTCTCGATTCAGTAAAATGTCGAGTGATTCAAAATTTACAGATGATTGTCCCTTTTTATCCCTGCAAAAAAAAATACAGCAATACATTAAAAAGCTGATTTCCCTGAGGGAAGTTAATTTAAAAAGTTCGTCGTTTGCGGAACTGTCTGCCACATTGAATTGAATAATCCTCTCTTGAAAGTAAGACAAATACTAATCATTTCCATAAACTAAATTAAAAAAAAGTACTTTAAGGACAAATATAAATGATTTTTTTTTAATATCCGAAACATTTATTTCCATTTACAAAACTGTAATAAATTATGTCTTGTAATTCTTACAAAATACAAATTATTGAAGTACCGAAATAATCATATATATATAGAGTTGTCTATTGTTCTCATCGTTTTACCAGAACATTAAATATTTAGTCCAGTATAATTGTTTTGTAAAGAGCGAACACGAAAACGAATGGCCAGAGAAAAACAGGAGAAATAAATTATTTCTAACGTTCTCCCCAGCGATGACAATAAAAAAAAGTATTATACCCGTGGCAATAGCGAAATAGCGGACAAACACACATACACACACACAAAAATAATGATGTAATACAACGAACGAAAAATCAACATTCGAAACGGCGCGCAAATAATGACGCTTTTTTTCACACAAAAAAAATTATACCCAATGAAACACGGAAAGTACAATGTAAATAAATTACTACATCCTTCGTGGGATTTTATGTTTTTTTTTGCATGTGGGGGAATCGAAATGCAAAATGACATTTGTTTTTGACACATATTTTGGAGCTTTAAATTTTATTTCGATTAAAAACTATGAATTTATTTTTTAAATTTTTAGGTATTTTTCTTCACTATAGTTGTTTTTAACCAACAATAAAGAAAAATTCTTCATATTCTTAAGTTATTCTTTAAAAATATTTTGAATATTAAATTTTTGATTTTTTTTTCAAGTATTTTTCATGTTTTTAGTACAATTATTATATTTTCTGTAAAATATACAATAAATGTATTGAATTTTGAATTTCTGATGAAACAAAATTGAATTGTGTAGTAACAATTATCACAAAATTTTCGACTCTGATGAGTTGACGCATTATTTAGTGATACTTTCTGTATAGTGCTTTTATATCAACTTTGAAGGTTTGGGCTTAGGATTTCGCATGCGATTATTGTAATTTCATTGGGATTTAGTCTAACAGTTTCCGAGAATCTAATTAAACAGTATAATTAAATCACGAGTTAAAAAAAACTTGTTTCTTATATCTTAGAGAGTGACGCTAACGAAGATTACTAAGATACACATGCACATTCACAAAAGAATCTCGTTATTTACGGTAAAGCTCAAAGCTTGAATATGATATTTGCATATTCCACTCAGCATCTCGAAATAAAATAAACAGCAGCAAATTAATTTCGTTCTGAAAGTTCCAATTAAGGCTTTCTATTTGTGAGTCTACGTGAAACATGGATCCTCATTGCAAGTCGAGTAAACATCGCGTTACAAATATTATATATATATATAAATAAATATGTCTCTATAATGAGTACAGACGGGAAGTACGAAAAAATATGATTTGCAATGTTATTAATGTATTCCTTTCATGTTTTCATCCCTTTCGATTCGGATGAAAACTATATAATGAATAGTAATTGCGTGCAGCGTAAATTCAAATGAAAACGTCAAGCTTTCGTATTCGTTTTATGTAAACGTGGCAACTTAATTAACAATAGCTGAACTGAAACGAAACAGCGAAATGAAAAATGAGAACATTGTAAATAGGAGAGGAGGGAACGTGTTTCGGAGGGGATGTATCTATATAGAGCACATACACACACTTTGTGGACTAGTATGGAAGTCAAGACGCAAGACTTGGCGACTCCGTGGCGACACGCGTTTCGTGAATGGGGCTACGTCGTATCGATTAAGCATTATTTTTCAATTTTCAATCCCGTCTCGTAAAGATTACCCGTATGATGATAATGAGCTTTCACCCAAAGTAATCTACTTACGTGGGACAGACTAATTTATTAAACAGTTTACCTTATTTCATTCCATCGATTTAATTTATTTTTTAATCTTATAAAAAAATTATTCCACCCTTCGGGATTTTTACACACTATCCCTAATTGAAAAATAATAAGCATCATACATAATGATCCATTTTATAGTTGATATAATGATTGCTTTCTAATAAAACTTTTTATTGTACAAACAGTTTTACGTATTATTTAAATCCAAGTTTTCAACATAATTTCTTACTTGAACACAAGCAGAGTATAGATAATTAAAAATTAATGTATGGACAAAAGGTGAAATTATTTCATTATTAAAACAATTTTATAAACACTTTTGTGTCTAAATGAAAAATATACATTTATTTATTTGAAATTTGATATAAGAAAACTGTTTGCATGAAGCCTGTTAAGTTATGTATATTTTGTTATATATATATTTAGAGTCAAACAGAAATTAATTTAGTTCCGGTTAAAGTTAAAATTTATAATCGAACGAAAAAAACAATTTAAATTGATTAAAGTTAAAATTTCAAATCGAATCGAACATCAATTATAAATTTTAGCAATACCATCAAAGGTTTTTTTTATCGCAAAATAAAAATTTGAAAAAGTTCCGAATTCATACGAAAATTCTTCTCTCTATCCACCGTCATATTTTTTTATACCAACTGTATTATGAATAAAATTAAATGTAGCGATTAATGAATTGATTTACTGAAAAAAGCATAAATTGAACCGAAATTAACCGTTATTTAAATTTCGTACCAGTTTCGGTTTTTTAATTGAATAATTTTACGTTCAGTTTAATTTCGTTTCGATTCCGGTTCGACTCTCTGATATATATGGATATCTACTCTTGGAATTCTTGTACAAATTGTTTTATGTGCTTTTTAAATCCAAGTTTTAAATTGTTTTCAATATAATTTCTCACCTGAACACATAATTAAAATAATTTTACAAACACTTTTGTATCTAAATGAAAAACAAACTTTTATTTATATCATATAATGGTTATTAATAATTATGTTGTTGCGAAATTTTATATAAGAAAACTGTTTGTATGAAGCCTGTTATCTATATATTATATGCTACTCGTGGAATTCAATGAAAACGTGAATGGAACACGACAAATAATAAGGAAGAAAACTAGGAGGAAAACGAATTTTAGCAGCGATACATACATTCACGTCGAGTGCCATTCAAGTAAAAATATGAATGAGTCGCAATACTAACGGAAGAAATATAGTGATCGCTCACAATAGGTCACGTTCAAATTTTGTCGTATAAAATACGCACATGAATGAAAGTACAGAGCACAAAGACCTCGAAGGATATGAGCATATAGAGGAAATTTTCTGATTATATAGAAGATGTGTGAGGCGAAATGATTAATCGCAAAAATCTTAATTATCGAAAAACGGCGGATGTTTGTGTCCATTAAGGAGAGACGGAGGATTCGGTTGATGAATGGCCCTTAAAGCATTCGGGTTTGGCTTTAAAGACGATGCGACGCTTCGAACGTACTGCAATTGATCCGAGCTTTTGAACTTGCCAAGGTTAAGGGCACCGTTTAATTGAATGGTACGTTATATTCATATTTTGCGTCGTTTCTAAATCAAATCCTGTTCGATAATGCCTATCGGTTGGGAAAACAGACTAATCCTGTTGAAGCGAGGTCGACCGCATATTCCGTGCATTTATTGTTGCCCCCGTTTATTTGCGTTTATATTCAATCAACTCATCCATAAATCCATGGCAAATGAGGCGTGTGCTAGTAATGTTTAATCAAAAAATTTCCGAATATTCGGAGCGTATAAATTTTACCAAAACCTCTCTCCACTGCCTTTATTCACAGGGTGTTTACACCTGCCCACAATTGGGACACATCGGGACTAGTACATTCTGTCCTAATTAAGCGGGACGGCGCCACGAGGATTTACACACGATTGCTTTCCGGATTAAACGGAAAATTGTCCCGAAAAAGCGGAGTAAATTTGTGTTATTTCCTTAGTTTTGTATTCGTTCTTTAGGATTTGTAGCGACTGTCCCGATTAACCGGTGTCCCAATTAATCGAAATCTACTGTACATTCAGTAAATTTATATACTACTGTATTTATATACATTTAATTATATTCACATATTATATATTTAATTATATTTCATCTTTTACAAACAGTAACATTTTAATAATAAATTTATAAAAATAAATCACTTCAGTTTTATTTTTAATAATTTATAAATTTTTCATTTTAAAACAATTATTAATTCTAATTATGATTAGTAAGTGTATACATTTACCAATTTTTAAATTTCTCTGTGTCAAACTTTTATACTCGATTTCATGAGTATGAAAATAGATTAATCAAACTATCAATGGAAACAAATCTAGAAACAAACAGTGCATAGCAAACAATTGAAGTTTGCCACATCATCAAAACTTTATACATTATTAAAATCAATACCAAATGCAATAACTCATACACAAACAAAATTTATCTTTATGGATTTATGTGTAATAATCATTTTTTTCATCAGCTAAGGAAACACATTTTTAATGGTGTTACGAGTATAATAAAAATGCAAACGATTGTAGCCGTTTTATCAGATCGCACCGTATCGCAATTCGTATGGACGAACCCATCCCTGCGCATTCAATACATGCACTTTCATAATTGAAAGGTAAATACACGATATCCATATATTATATAATA